GGTGAGTAGGAGTTGGGGGGAGGGGGTGAGGCAGTGAGGGACAGAGCAGGGGGCTTCGTGCAGGAGGTGGCTGGGCATGAAGGGCCCGGTGGATTCTTGTGCTGTGTGATGCGGGGAAGCGGGGCCCAGGAGCACTGCATCCTGGCCAGGGGCTCAGGGAGAGTAACAGCCTCTCGTGAGGCCCCGGGAGCCCGGCACTGCTGCACAGGCAGCCACGAGGTACTGGGTCCAGCCAGCCAGACTCAGGGGGAACGAGTGGCCATCGCCTGCCTTGGCTGCTTCCCAGCGCTTCCTGTGTCCCAGCATCTCAGACCGAAGCCACTCTCGGCCAGGGTCCCTCACCCAGTGCCAGTGCTCTTGTAACTGCCTCCTGTGATGATGATGATGATGATGATGATGGCGATGATGGAGGGCATGAGGATGGTGCTATGTGGATTCAGAGCAAGTGTTCCAAATCTCATGCGCCGCTCACAGTCCTGAGAGGGAGCTTGGTGCAATTTTATTCCTGTTTTCTGGTTCAGAGGGGCTCAGAGAAGGAGGTGACTTATTCAAGGACACTCAGGGAGAGTGTCTCAGAGCCCAAGGGAGGCTTGTGGGTGATGGGTAGCCGTCATGGACTTGGACAAAGATCATATTGACCTTCGACTCCTAAGCCTCAATTCTGTAGACTTTGTGGAGACTCTGGGAGAGGAAGACATTTTTTCTCTACCCTTCTAGGTTCTTCTAGGTGATCTAATAATTAAATTGATGTGAAACAGATTAACAAGAGAAAATTACCAATTTTAGTTACATACGTACATATGAGAACCCCACATATATAACAGGTTCATTGTCAGAAGGTCAAAATGAGGTACATATGGCATTCTAAGCCAAAGATGGGGTCAGGTGACTTGAGGCTTCAGAGGGGAGGACAGTCATTGCAGGACAATAAAAATAGCGGGTGTTCGGTAATTAGATGTTTGCCCTGCTATATAGATAGGTCATAAAAGTTATTTCTGGTAATGTCATCATGGGCAAGGCCCCCAATTTAAATTCTTTGAGAGGTAAAAGTTTCTCGTGAGCTGGCAGGGTCTTGATTTGCCTTCAGCTCAAAATAATCCACATGTCAGTGTAGCACATCTTGGGGAGGCCTGTTATGAACCCCTTCAGGGCAAGGCCCTCCCAAACACGCCCTGCCGGGGTGCCCCCCCGCCCCCCGCACGCGTGCGCCCTCCTGCTGGCTTTCGCTGCCCCTTCTTGCCAGCTGACTCCTGTCCTGGCTGAGAGGGAGAAGCCTATGTTCTTACCCACACTGAGCTCGTCGGGAGAAGTCCCAAGGCATTTTTATTCTTGCCATTTTCTTGAGGTCTCCTCTCCTGAGGCATGAGGACAAGTGACCTAGGGCTAGGTCAAACGTAGCCCAGACTTTGCTTCTGCCTCTAAAGCCGTTGTTAAGCCAGTGCTCCAGGAGGGGCCCCAGGCACCCCCCGTCTTGCCTCAGGGTCAGTTTTCAGCCTCCCTGGGCACGCCCCACAGGTGTGAGGCGGCCTTAGCCCCGCCTCCTTTATGGTTCTTTTAACGCCAGAGACTTGTAATCTGACCTGGACCCTGCACAGCTCTGGGCTCTCCCAGTCCCCGGATACAGGGAACCCGCAGACATCCTGGACGGTGCGTGGACCCAGTCTGTCGGCGTGACCAGGGGTGGACCGAGCTGTGCACAGAGCAGGGGATTGGGCCCTCCAGCTGCCCTGTCTAGACGGGTCTGCCACCCTGCTCCTCGGAGCCCCACTTGTCAGCGTTCCCCCAACCCCACCACTCACTTTGGACCTCTTTGTTTCTAGATTTGAATTCAGGTGTGTTCTTTGCACCTTAACATGGCTTAAAGGCCGACCCTCTGGGGGTGGGGGGAAAACTATCCTGAGCCCCGACTTTGAAGTGCACAGGTTGTAGGATGAGGCAGGTCGACTACAGCTAGCCCCACAGCCAGGCCACCGTGGACAGAGGACGGTGTGAGCTGGAGGAACTCTGGTACGTGAGGTGAACGCAGGTAGCACACTTCCTCCTCAGTGCGGACCCTCTGGCCGCCCTGGCTGCCTGCCTTCGGTAGATGGAAAGGAGGTTCTGTGGCTGACCGGTGAGATTGCACTGGAAGTACACTTAGCCTGGTCTGCTGGTCCACGAGCCTCAGGCCAGTGATTGCAAAATGGAGTCTGGGCCTCGCTGCCCCACCCCTGCCTCTCTCACGACTCAGGGGCCTGGCCTGAGCCTCAGCCCTTAATCTGAGCCCAGATACCTATCAGGTGTGTGGGCTGATGAACAGCTGATAGCATCTCTGCAGTTACCTCCGGAGGTATCTGCTTCTTCTCTCTGGGGACTCTGAGACCAAACCCTTCCCCAAGGGCTGAATCCCTTCTAGAGGGAGGGGCAGGTTCTCAGGGAGGGCTTCGGAGAAGTGCTGTGTTGGGCAAATTGTAGAGAACAGTGTAAATACGGCGATTTTTCTGTCTCTTCCTTTTCTGCTGTCAGGAAGGGGCATCCCATGGCCCACGCTCCGCTATGAAGGATGGAAACGGGCTGGGAAGGGGGCACAGAGGGACAAGGGACTTGCGTGCACATTGGTGCCGTCCTCTTCTCCTTCACAGGTACGTCTGCCTTCCAAATGGGAGAAAAGGGAATTATGCTCAGAAACCGCAGCCGTTTGTGCCCAGGACTCTCCAAGACTTTCTGCAGGGAGGAAGGACATCCCTCCCTTCAAGGAGCGAGAGCCTCCATTGCCAAAAGAAACTCGCCTCTCAAGACTGGAGGCAGCCGCACCGCCTGTTCACACGATTGCTGAGCGGTATTTGGGAAAGTATGAAACCAGAGCTGCGCCAGTGCCTAGCGGTTCCCGGAGGAATGGCCGCGAAAGTGGGCAACCGATAAGCTAGCTGGCGTCTGAAGACCAAGAGCGATGCGATGTCAGAGGCGGTGAACCCCGCTCCGGACGCCACCGTCGCCCGCTCAGGGTGACTCTGAACAGGAATTAGCATCTTCAAGTCCTAGAGAAGTAGGATTAAAGTTGGATGTTCTCTCTCTTTGACATAGTTGGTTTTAGGATACCTTTCGGAATGACTGACTGTACAAAACAGGGAGCACATTCAGGAAGAAATGAGGCACAGGGCAGTTCCCCAGAGTGGCCCTCTGACTGCGTCAGATTCATAAGTATGTCTGGGGGTGGGGCCCAGGAATCTGCATTGCACTTTAAATGAAGGTATATCATACTTATAGTAAAGGGCACTGCCTTGAAGCTCATAGTCCAGTGAATTTTTACATGTGAATAGAGCTGTGTAGCTACCACCCCGTGCACTTCCAGGAGTCACGAAGCCTCCCTCATACCTCTTCCCGCTAGAGGTACTTTAATCCACATCTCCCCATTCGGCAGGCACCAACCACTATTCTGATTTTTATCCCTATCAGTTTGTTTTGTCTGTTCTCAAACGTCACTCAAATAGAACTGTACATTATTCATACTCTGTTGTGTCTCGTGAGGAACAGAGCGAAGAAATAAAACGGAGCCACATAAAGGGAAAGCTGCGAAATTACTAAAATCGAGTTTTGAATGTTCCAGTCCTGAGTCGATGCCTGGATATAGATCAAACCTCCAGAGACTCCCTGAAGGACTCACGCATCCACACCACCCGACGTCCAGGATCCAGAGCACCCATCATCGGGAGGATGACCATCTCGGATCGATCCAGAGGCTGAGAATGCAGGACTCGTTCTTCTCAAGAACGTACTTTTTGTTCTAAGAACCCTCAGCTTCTCTTTCTTCTTTGGAACCCTCCGGATATTGCCTAGTTGCCGTTCTTGTTTGCAAACCCTAAGACCCTTGAATCAGACTTTATCATTTGTTTCTAACTGAAGCCTCCTGACTCTTTTTGAGTATGTTCGACACATGTTTCTTCTGCTCAACATCATGTTTGTGAATCAGCTATGTTGTGCGTGCCATTGGTTTGTTCTTTTTACTGCTAAGCAGTGTTCCACTCTATGAATATAGGGCAACTTGTTAACCATATTCTTATCAGTGGCATTTAAGCTGTTTCCGGTTTTCAGCTACAATGAGTAAAAGTGCTGTGAATATATTTGTACGCGGCTTTTGGTAAATACACGCACTCGTTTCTCTTGGGTAAATAGCCAGGGTGGAATCGCCTGATCGTAGGGTAAGCGGGATGGCTTGGCCGCCATGTGCCAACTTGGCTGGGCCGCATTCCCTTCCTTGTGTGATTCTGGTGAGGGTGGGCCATGTGGGAGATTACTGAGGGGACTCGAGGGCAGAAGGGAAGCAGCAGCCGTTTTGTGGCTCATGCACATTACGGCTGATCTGCTGACCCATCCAGTCGGCAGGAAGCAGCAGTTGGCTCCTCTTTCGGTTTCTCTCCCTCCTGAGCCAGCTGTGTATTTGTTTAGCTCTGTGGTAAAAGACCCTGGCTTCTGCAAAATACTCACTCCATCAGTGACAGAGGCAATGACTGACATGAGTTTCAGGGATTCGGTTTGTCCTCGTGGGGTTCCAGTTAGGCTTATGGGGTTCAGACTGTTCTTGCCGTCCCTCACGTATCATCCACCTTCAATTCTCACCTGCCTGACCTGTGGAATTCAAGCTCCAACATGAGATGAAGAGACAGCAACAGCTTAACCAAGACTTGCAAGACTGCTTAACCAGCTCCCACGTGAAGGCCCGATCCCCATGCCAAACAGCAGTGGCTCTGCTTCCTTGGTTGAACCTGGCCGATACCGTAGGTGTAGGTGTTTGTTTAACTCAATTCAAAGCTGTCAAACACATTTCCAAAGCGGCTAGTCCTACTTACTTCCTCCAGCTGTTCTGCATCCTTGCCAGACCTAGTTATCGTCCTCCTTTCAAATTTCACCCATCTGCTGGGTGGGCATCTACATTTTTAAACAAGCTCTCCTTGGGACTTTTAGGAAAGATAAAGGATGAGAACCTGGTTTGAGGAAGGACCTTGGCACTTGAACTTGCAGGAGACAGTTTGATTCAGAATTTTATCCTCACCACTTACTGGCTGTATGATCTTCGTTGACTTTTCATCTCTCCGGGCTTCAGTTATTTCATCTATAGAATGAATTATTAATCATCACTAACAAGTATTGAGTGCTTACCAGATGCCAGACACTGTTCTAAGCGCTTCACTGGATTCTCTCGACCCATGATGAGGTGAGTGCCATTATTACCTCTAATTTAGAGGTGGGGAAACTGACTTACTGGGAGTCAAACCCAGGCAGTCTGGCTCCCTTGGTGTCCACCGTCTGCCATCCCTCCACTGCAAGGCGGCATGGAGATGAAATGGGAGTGGACGAGCTGCACAGGGCAGCCCAGCGAGTACACATTGATCTTCCTTCTTCACTGGGTCCCCATGGGAAATTGCCTTTCGGGTCTATCAAATATGCAGAAATTAATCTAAACAAACAAACAAACAAACAAACAAATCAGGCCACCATCATAACTCATGCAGCCAGAAAGGTAGGATCCAGTAGAATCCAGCATTATCCAGAGAAGACAACACCTCTATGGCTCCCTGACGTGGACATTTTGGCTCGTGGGCAGGTAGGAGGCCTTAGTGGGGAGTGTCAGGCTTCGCCTAAGTATATCGCCATCAACTCTCTTCACTCTGACTTTCTACTGACCAGTGAACCTTCTGGTATTGATTTCCTTTCCCAAAAGTCTATCCTTCCTGAAAGAGATTGTGCTGACCAGTCAACCTCAGGATTCCTGTCTGCTGGGTGGTTTCATTTCTCAGTGCGAATTAATAAATTGCATTTCGGGTTTATCAATCAGTCTCTTGTGAGTTTGTTTAGCGTAGATCAGTTCCCTCACACCTAATTATAACTCAGCTCTCACGGGGAAACTGGGGAGGAAATACCATCGGGGTAGTATCAGAGAGGTGTCTAGAGAATAATATTAAAAAAGTATGCTTTGAGACCAAAGAGGACTTCTGTGTGTTTGGGGGAGGGAGCATCAAGGAAGGCTTCCTGGAGGAGGATGCCATTGGCGCAAGAAGAGGGACACTATAGCATAAACGTGTGGCTAAAACACAGGCTCTGGAGTCTGCCTACCTGGGTTGGAAGTCTGTCTCTTCCCACTTGCCAGCCGTGTGACTTGGCCACCTTGCTTTCTCTCTCTAGGCCTCACATTCCTCGTCTTTAAAGCGGGCATAGCGAGAGCAGCCACCTCGTGGGGTGGCTGTAAGGATGACATGATGCTCTATAACATGTATGACTCTTAGCACAGTACTTGCCACACGGGTTATAAGTAAATAGTTGTCATTACTGCTGCTGTTATTAATACCCAAAGTAATGGTTTTCATTGAGGAAACTTCCAGGAGAAGGCGACAGATCCGAGGCCCGCTGGATCCCCAGAGACAATTTTGCCTCAAAGGGAGTGAAAGCTGAGTCTGTGTTTGCGTTAAGACTCGCCGGGCAGAAAGCTCATGGCAGTCTATGGCTCTTTCCTTGAGAGTGGTCACAGCCCGTCCTGTGGTTTTGCATCCCACGAGCAGAGCTGCCTGCACAATCTATAAGAACCCATCAGCCTCGAGAACTTCCGTGGTTTCTGAGTCACTGTCAGGCCATTTCAGCTTCCAAGCAGAAACTCCCAAGGCGGACTTACCATCTAGGCCTTTTCTGCCTTCTTCCGTGTGGGGGAGGGAGCTACACCCCATAATAGATCCCTGCTCACCATCAAATCTCTGTGTGGAGGCCCAGCGTCACGGCTAGTCCCAAAAGAAAAGATGCTCAAGATCGTCCAGCTAGGGTGTTCCAGACCCAGGTCTGCTTCTGTGTCCACTGTCCTTTCTCCAGATCCTGGTAGGGCCTTCTCTAGTTTCACCATGAACTTGATTCTTCTGCCCAGTGCGGGGAGGAAGGGAAGAGAGAAACAGGCAGGCATGCTAGCAGACAGCTGGGGTTCCAGTCATCTGTGCTCTCCTGGCAAGGGGAGATGCCCTCTGCTCCCCAGTCTCATCCTCTCCCCCAGGTTGTCCCCTGACAGCACCCCCTCCTTCTGCACGATGGAAACTGCTTCGGTTTTGCCCCAGGTCCCTTTGCCTTACCCCATCACAAAAGTGGAGAGTTCCATGGGCCCCCCCGCTATTTCCTGTTCTTTGTCTCTTGCGGTTGCTGGGCATCTAAAAAAATCTCCATTGTTTTCACTCAGGGATCCTTCTCTTGGATTCATTTCCTCTTTTCATGAGAGTGCACGTGGTTGGGTGCAGGTGGTCAGCAAAGTCGGGCTGGGAGACACAGACCGTGGTTGAATGAGAGGCAATGCTCCTCTCTTGTCTTAATCAATGACACCTCTGAAAGGGGTACCCACCCTCTTTTCTGTGGCTGATAATTGCCCCCTGTATTAACCCAATTCCAGAGCTCTGTCCTGTGCTTGGAGGAGCTGAGTGGGATACTGGTTAAAAACAGTAGGGCTGATTTCCCAGTCTTGCCACTTAGCACCTCTGTGATCCTGGGGGATGTTGCTGAATCTCTCTGGGTATCAGCTGGCCCAGATAATGGACTCTAATAACGACACCTATCCACACAAGACTGCCATGAGAGTCAGCGGGAGAATGAGCACAAAGCACTTAGAATGGTGCCTGACAGGTGGTCAGGGTCCCGTGAATATTAGGTCCTATTGATAGTGGTTATTATTCCTCTCCGGGGCAGGGGCATGCCACGGTGTTGCCAGCTTTCCCCAGCCTGGTCCTTAGCTTTGGAGATTCAGAAGTTGTCAGTGCACCCAGGGTTCTAGCAAAGTCTATGCAAGAAGTCAAGTTACCAATAAACGGTTGCTTGATGAACAAGGACTTGAAGCTGGGTGGAGGGCAATGGGCAGCAATGGGCAGGCTCACAGGCTCACAGGGCCTGTGGCTCCCATTTCTATCAGAGGGACTGGCTTGGAAGCTCCGTGTGGCTGGTCCAGGAGTCCTGCTCTCCTGCACGTGATAGGGAGGCCAATCTGGTGTGACATCTGCTGACTCCGGCATCCACCAGGGCTGAGCTGGTTAACTTGACTGGCTGGAGCAGCCTTCTCTCCCCAGTACCTTACAGATTCACCCTTAGTTAGAGAAAGGTCTTCCCAGAGCAGAGAGGCCGCCTCTTCCTTCAGGGCTGTATAGAGGCTCCCAGGTCTTGTCAGAACTGCTCCAAGCACATCAAGGGACACACTGAAGGGCTCAGCTGTCTGATTCCCTCCGCTTCCTGTCTTGCCCTCTCCGGTTCATGAAGAGACCTCCTTCCCACAGCTCGCAGTCCAGACAAACAGGTCCCTGTTTTGGACAAGTCTAGTCAGGTGGGAAGGTCGCCCCGGTTACACTGATGTGTGTTTGGGTGCTACCCAGAGACCAGTTCTCTGGGCTGGGGCTTCTGATATAGATGACTGAGTTCACCCATCACAGGGCGATATCCCCCCCACCCCCATTTATTTCATCCTTAGGTTAGGAGCACTTTGTAATCCTGCTCAAATGTGACTTCATGATTTCCTTTGTTTTTCAAAAATTAAATACTTCCTGTTAACAACAATAGCTGCTCTTTATTAATTAGCCAGTGTACTAACTGGATGATTCTCTTACATTATCTTTAATCCATACAACAACCCGCTTCCAATTTTATAGATGAGGAGACTGAAGCTCAGAGGGATCCATAATATGGGTAATTGGCCCAATATCTGTGCCTTTTTTTTTTTTTTTTTTGGCATTGCCTCAAGATGATTGGTATTTTTCTTCCCAGTTGAAATGAAAGAGAAATGTTTGCATTTACCTTTCATCTTTTAAAACAAGCTCTTGAAACCTCATTAAAGAACATAGCTGAAAAAAAAACCAGACATTTTGATTTGCATGAGCCCAGATTTTGCAAGGACAATAAGGTTATGTTTCATGTGTTTGTTCGCTTGGCATATCAGAAACCAAAATCTTTTATCAAATGGGAACCATGGAAATCAGCTCTTACAGCAGAACGGTGAGGGTTCGAAAACATGTCAATGTCTGGGTGAGATATGATGAGTGTCTGAACAGGGCAGTGGCCAAGGATGGATAGGAGAGATATCAAGGGGGTGGAATCAATACAATGTGATTGATTGATTGATACAGGCTGAAGTCCAAACACCTTCACTTAGACGGCCACTCCGGTTTCAAGTGTTGCCATTCCCCTTGCCGTGTCTGCTCCAGCTGGTTCCTGAAAGAACATCCTTGCTCTTGTCCAGGCTCCATGCCTCTGAATCCATTCCCTCACTCCAGAAATCGTGAGTTTCTCTGTCTCTCTCCCCAGCTAGAAAATGAGCTCCTTCAAAGAAGGCACTGAATCTCCTCTCTCTGAATCCCAGCCTCCGGCACAAAGCCTCCTTCGTGCACCACGAATATTGGTTAAGCAAATCAATAGCTTAAAAAGAGATGCGAAGGGAAGAGGAAGAAAGGAAGTAAAAAGAGAGGAGGAACGAAGACGAGTGCGCCGTCAGACCGCATTTAATCGCTCCTTTCTCTGATGTTACACATTAATCCTCATCAGTGAAGCAGGAGAGTGATCTGCATAGCTCCTGCCTCCGCTGGCTGCTGGAACCAGAGCCAAATAAAATGGGAATGGTTCAGAGACTAATTAACATTCTGTCCCAACAGTTTCCATAAGACTTTCACGTTACTAGAGGCAGTAATATGCCTCCTGCAGTCATTGATGTGGGTATGGGATGGGGGCACTGAGAGCCAAGAGAGAAGTAACAGTAAGGTAGACAGAGTCCCGATGACCTGTCCCACGTCCCGAGCTCCAGTCCTGGATGCACAGACAGCCCCAGAGCTGGGCCTGACAGTGCCTGCAGATTCATATTCTAAAATCTCTCTTTCTTTGCTTTGACTTTTTCTGTTCCTCCTTTGCTACTTCCACACTCACTGATCCCCCAGGTCCTCAGGAGACCAAATATAAGCCAGAGCAGAAGATAGGGCTTGAATTAATTTCAGTGTCTTTGTGTCTTGCAGTAAAATAGAAAATCTTGCATCTTAAGTCTTGTTTGTCCTGAGCTACTAGATTTTCTTACGGATTTTTTTTTTTTCCATCGGTTAATTTTTAAAGAAAAGATTTGTTTTCTCTAACAGCATCCGATGTTAAGTCGGGCAGTGTCAGTGCACGGGTTCGGGAGTTGGGAAGACACCGCCACTTCAGAGAGTGACCTTGGGCAAGTTCTTTTGAAGTCCCCTCTCCAAGCTGCGTCTCTGGCTCAGTCTGCATACCTGGAAACGGGAAAGCCCAGTACCACCCGCAGTCTGCCTACCATACCTGCAGGACTTCATAAATCGCCTCACATTTCCTTTGTGAGAATTACTGTGTAAAGGTTCTACAGTCCCTCATCTCACAGGCAGGGCAGGCAAAGAGCTTGCTTGGGGGCTATGCAACTAGTAAGTACCCCGGGCATAGGACAGGGACCTGCCGCTACGCCATGCAGTCTGTGGCTGGGTGGTCAGTTTCTTTAGTCTTTGTGTTTTGGTAGAGATCTAAAAAATACTCCCTGGTTCTGGCCTTATACTGTCTTCACCTCTTACTTCTTCTTCATTAAAAAGAAGGGCGGTCTTGAAATAGCTTCAATCCCTTAGACCCTGGGGGCAGGGTGTCCGGGAAGGCTGGGCATGGTGGTCTGCCAACTACACTGACTATGTAAGAAGCTCCCTACCCACCCCCCACCCCCATTCAGCTTTTGAGGAAGAAATGGCTACACAGGCCAAAGAAGCCAGCAGCTCACATGCCCTGGGCCAGAAAGACAGCAATGCAGCTGATTCAGCTGGCTATCTCATGCTGATCACAGGCTCCGATGGGCAATTATACATGTCTTTGATTAATAAAAAATGGGGCAATGAATGAATACTTAATCAACACAGTCTGGCGGGGAGGCTCCTTCAGAAACTGGGCTGGGGGTGAGGCAGGGAGTAATCAAAGGGGTCTTAGGAGGTGAAAAGGCAGGGCACCCCCCAGGGAGTGGATCCGGAAAGCTGTCCAGCTCTGGTTCTTGTCTCTGATTCTGTGCCGGGGATTTGCTGGGAGCACGAGAAAGTGTGGGGCTGGCGGACCGATGGGGGGAAATGTGTTCTGTGCCACCGACGTAGTCAAGGAAAAACACAAGGAATGGGGGAGGGGTGTCTGTGTGTGTCTCCAGGTAGCTGTGTGTCCTCCGGGTGTGTGCTGTGAGCATGTGAGCAGCTGGGTACTGTGGTCTGCCTGTGCGTGCAGTGGTATTAACACTAACCTGCTGGCGAGGGAGGAAAGACCAGGGCGCTGGGAGCCTGAAAGAGCATCAAAAGCGATGAAAAAGGCCACTGCTGGGGTTGAAAGGAGGGACAGGAGAAACGGTCCAAACGTGAGGCGAAAAAAGGGCGCGAGAGACCGCGAGCAGAAGGAGGAGGAAGCGATGCAGAGAGGGAGGTGCCCCCCCTCTCCAAAACCCGCCCTGCGCACTGGCCCTTCCAGGCACGAGGAGGGGCGATGACGGGACAGGGAGGGGCGGTGACAGAGAGGCGCGAATCCGAACCGCGGAGAGCGCGCCAGGCAGCAGCGCGGGAGCCAGCCCGGGAGTAGGAGGTCGGTAGGGCGCCAAACCGGGGCCGGCCACCTGCGGCGGGGCGGGGAGGCCAGGGGGCCAGGGCGCCGGGCCAGGGGTGGGGGCAATGGACTGTGAGCCCGCTGACCTCAGGGATGCCTCTGAGGGCGGGCGTTCTGAAGGTCATGGGGTCGGGGTGGTGGCCCGCCTCTGGGCGCTTTGCCGGCACATGGCAGATGGGGACAGGAAGAGAGGCGGCAGGGAGGTGACACGGGCGGGCGGCCTGGCGGAGGGTTAGGGAGGATCCCGTTGGAGCTGGGATATTTTGGGTGTTAGACTGGCCCTCTGTGACTGACTAGCCCATGTGACCTTTGACAAATCGCCCAATTTCCCTGTCAGTAAACGGAAGATAAAACACCAAGTTTGTCAGGTTGTTGTGAGGGTTTCTGACATAAATAAGTTCCCTCGCGCCCTGTGCCCGGTTCAGAGTTGCCGCTGGCATCGTTTTTGTGGACAGTCTCCAGAATTTGGGTTCGGTGCCAGCTCTGCCACCCACTGCCAGCTGCGACTGGATGGAGAAAGGCTTTTTGCAGCTGTTTCTAACAGCTGGCCTCTCTCTCCAGCCCATGAAGAGCACTGAGTCCACCTCCACCTTTCCCACAAGCCCTCTGTACCAAGCGGCCTGTGTCTTGTTTGATAGGATCCGGAGAATCACCCGCCCATGGTTTCTGCCAAGCCGGAAACAGCCAGAGCCAGAGCTACGTGAACGGAAAGGACGGCCTGAAGAATTTTCCAAGTGCTCCAGCGCCAGGCCCTGCAGCTCCCGTGGGCAGCCCCGGAGGCCACCAGTGGGATTTGAGGGTCTGCTGCACCTCGGGCCATGTCAGGCCAGGGCCTGCCCCTGCGCGTGGCCACCCTGCTCACAGGGCTGCTGGAATGCCTTGGCTTCGCCGGCGTCCTCTTCGGCTGGGTGTCCCTGGTGTTCGTCTTCAAAACCGAGCATTACTTTGAGGAGCTGTGTAAACCAGATGCTGGGCCGATGGGCAATGCCACAGGGCAGAATGGTAAGGGAGGGGCTGGCAAGGGGCCAACGGGCAGTGCCACCAGCTGGATGGCAAAGGGTGGATGCCTTCTCTAGGAAGTTGGGTCTGGTGTGTGTGGCTGGCAGAACGGGGTAGGAAGGAGTCTACTCCCTTCTCACCCTGCCAGCCTTTCTGTGGTGAAAAGAAGGGACTGTCAGCCTCCCCTGTCCCCCACTTCTCAACTTCGGTCTAAGGGGTACCTGGGGAGGGAAGTACCAGCTTCTGAGGGATCAGGGGCAGTCACATTTCAACTCAGCTAAGGGGGAACTTTCCACTTGGCAGGCTGTCTGAGATGGAAGAGGCTGCCCTAGAGTGGGGCCAGGTTGGGTGCCCACCTGGCAGGAAGGCTGGATGAGTGGGAGGCTGGCCCGCCCACCCTGGGCTCCTGAGACTGTCCTTTCTCTCCTCCAGACTGCAAAGCCCAGGACGAGAGGTTCTCGCTCATCTTCACCCTGGCATCCTTCATGAACAACTTCATGACCTTCCCCACCGGCTACATCTTTGACCGTTTCAAGACCACCGTGGCCCGCCTCATAGCCATGTAAGCCCCAAAGGCCTGGGCTGGGCGTAGGTGGGCAAGAGAGATTCTTTTGGCAGCAGCCTTGCTTGAAGGGAGACACAGGCCAGGCAGCTGGCCTGCCCCGCCAGGCCATGCCCCAGCATCTCTGTTGGAAACAGCCCAGGGTGCAGACCCACCTTCTTCCCTCATCCCTACTTCCCTTTCCTTCTTCTGCTCCATGCAAATGTGTTTTCAGTACATCCTGAATTGAGCAAGAGCCCAGACCTCCTTCCTGTGAGGGCTGGCCTGGGGCCAAAGCTACCAAATTAGAAACACCTAACATTGTCACTCTGCCTTCACCCTGGGGAATCCTTATCCGCATCTCCTACAAGACTCACACCCAGGGGGTTGAGGCTTAATCAGCATCTCCTCACCCTCCATCGCTCCCCGAAGGCTCAGCTGGTAAGGTAAGGTCTCCTGAGTGTCCCCGATGGTGGAATTTCAGGCTCCTTTTGACTGGAAGGGCATCAAGGCAGTTCTCCCATGCAGACGAGTCAGGGAGGGCCAAGGACTGGATCTCGCTCACACTAGGTGTGATTGCTTATGTCACATGGCCTGCTGGGGGCTGATAGAAACCAAAACAAATACCTCCTAGCAGGCACGTGAGCGATTAGCTGTCAGCTGGAGGGACTGGAGGACCGGTTGGGCCGAGAAATGACCAGAGTGGAGCAGGTCCCTTGTTCTCTAAGCGTCTGGGAACGTAATGACTTTATTTCAGTCTCTTGGTCTTTGGCGTTTTGTCTCCCCTTCTTCCCTCCTCTTCCTTTGCCCCTTCCCTTCTCCGGCCTCGGCGTGTTGAGAAAAACTCAGTCTTCCTTCCTGTGTTTCTCCTTTACTTTCACACAGAACACTTCACTTCTGACACTTCAGGTCACCAAATGCGTGGACTTGTCCCCACACCAAGCAATTCCGTAATACCAGCTAAGCGTCCTGCAACTTAACTCAGTTCTGACGCTCCCTTCCTGGAGAGTGTCCCACAGGTTAAGGGCTCAGTCCCATGAGACCGACCCCCACTTCAGATGTCAGCAGGTGTTTGGTAGGTCCCCTGTGCGGAAGAAGAGAAAATTTCCCTTTTCCCACTCTGAGTTCTTCTGGCTGGTCTAAGAATCAAATCGACAAGAGGCAGATTAACAGGAGAAAGTAATCAAATCGAATATATATGTATATACAGGGCTTCCATAAGAATGGGGGGCCCGCCGAATCAGGCAGTTGGGGCGTACCTGCAATCCTGAGCCAAGGAGGAAGGGAGGAGTAGTGGTTCGGCACTTCTGAGGTGAAGAAGGCAGCGTGGAGATGATGAAGCAAATGTTTGCTTAGCAAATATTTGCTGGACCGTCATTAACAGTGGGATAGAGAGGCCTCCCATCGAACAGCCTTGCTAGGTTCTTCCCAGTTCAGATGAAACTGTCGTTATCTGTGATGTTGGCTCTCTTCCCGGAGTAGGTCCTCGACAGTTTGTTTTTTTTTTAGGACGTTTGGGGGAAGGTCAAACGTTCTTCCTGAGTCTTGTGTTTCTTAAAAATCACCAGCTTAAAAGAACCCATATCCCAAAGGCATATTTTGGGATGGCATCTCTCCAGCGGGGACACTCCCGTAGTCCCCCTCGTGTTGAGTGTGAGCGCACACTCGCAAAGGCGTGCAAGCCAGCCCTCCCCGCTCTCATCTGCCCCGTTTTCAACGACCAGTGTTTTCAATTGCCTGTTCCAATGCTCCATCACACCAGTGTTCTGAGGAGACTGTCTCTGTCCATTGTCGGACATGAGGGTCTGTAAAGGGTGTTCCTTGGTCTGAAGAAGCAGTGGTCAGCCATCCAAATTGGTATAAAGCAGGTCCTTTGATAGCACTCTGAGCATCCTCATCTACCACCAATAAGCAAAGCCCAGGCCAGAACCAGTGTCTGTTCCTGTCAGGACCCATTTGTAGCTGCCCAGAGCTTCCAGCACCCGTCTCTCTTGCCAGCTCTGTTCAGGGCCTTCCCCCCAGGCAATCTGCCACATGGCCATCTGCAGTCTGTCTCTTTTGCTGGCAGACAAAACAGCTCTTAGTGGCCTTTTGTGCCTCAGAGGGTATAAGAGGACTATGTCTAGATCCAGCCCATCTCTGCACTGCTGCTACACCCCTATATCCACTTATTTCATGGACCCAGGTGGCCACCTTAAGTGAGCACATAGGGACATCTGTTTGTTGATTTCAATCATTGTCTGAACTTGGAAAGGGGTTCTTCTGCTGCGTATCTATCTACATGTCCTACTTTAATGCACCCCTCAAGTGCCATAGCGATTTCCACAGGGCTGGCCGCCCTTACATCCCTTTAATCAGTTTCCATTGCCCTCTGCCCGACCATACGGCCAGGCCATTGGCCACTGCCCACGAGTCAGTAAAAACCCAAACACAGGTGCTTTTTCCAGTGTTCAGCCCTTCCCTCTCTGCTAGGAGAAGAGCCTGCAGCTCAGCCCCCGGAGCTGATCTGCTTTTGCTTTCTTTGATCAGGGTGGTGGTCTTCTAAACAGGAAACTGTCCATTCAGCATGGAATGGCCATCCACAAGCCAAGCAGCTCTTGTTGGTCCGTTAAGAGTCCCTTGTAGGGCACTGTCCAAGTGACAGCAGAATCCAGCAGCTCCTCTCACAGTTCCAGAGTCGGTCTCAGGGGAAGAGAGGCTCCCTGCCGTGAGTACCTCCTCCTCGCACTGCCCAGGCAGCATGACCCCTAGAAACCTTTCCAATTTACTCCTGGGCACTGCTGCCTTCGTTAGAGCGTTTCTCCGTCATCCTCCCAGACGTTATGGGTGTTTCACGTTCTAAGATCATTTTACGTCCTTCGGTCATTGGTGTAGCTTCAATAAATGTCTGATAACAAGATAATAAATGCCTCTCGGATGGAAATTCTCTGGTTCCAAACCGAGTAGTCATCACTGGGAGGTGCCCCCCAGCCTCACCGCAGCCCCAGTCTGGGCTCCAGGTGGGCTGTGGCACTGAGAACGTGTCTCCTCCCGCATTCCAGCTTCCACCTCACTCCCTGTGGACTCAGGTGTTCTTCCTGGCTCCCGTTTAGCAGGTCCAATGACGTGGCTCGACGGGCAGGTTTCTATGCCTTCTGTTTTATATTACTAGGTAAGGGAACTGTTCCCCAGCCAGACACAGTGTCCGTCTCCATAATATGATCGGGTAAAAGAGTCGAAAAGACCACGTCCCCTACATCCTGCTCAAACATACCAATTCTCCCACAAGCTGAATTCCGTCAGCCTTGATCCCATCAACCCTTACATACCGAGCTGGAGCCTCCATTAGGTTTTTATCAACGGGTTTTGGTTTTGTAATACTAGATAAGGGAAGCGTTCCCCAGTCTGACACATTGGCCGTTCTCATCAAACACTCAGGTAAAGGAAACACAACTTCTTCCCATAAAGGCTGCTTAAACATTCCGATTTTTGCAGTCTTATTAACTCTTACAATTTCATGTTCTCTCGTAAGAGTTGAAGCACGCACCAAGGCTTCTCCAATGGGTTTTGGTGTGAGGCTCCTATTCCAAGGAGTCCTGAAACTTCTCTTTTTAACCTTCCGATAAATATTTACCCACTCTTGTGCAAAGAGTTTTGGGTCTCCAGTGAGGGAGCCAGGGACCACGGCCCGTTGGTCAATCTTTAACCTGATTAATGTGCCACGAGCAATTGTTGGTCAGGTTTCTCATTGTAATCTCTGTCTTCTGGCTTTAGAAATTTTTCTAAACTGGGATAAATAGACTGGACTTGTTTGCGGGGGCTAGCAAAGGGTCCTCTTGGCCCACCCAGCCTTTGGTAGTGCTGTGTTGAAACCTTTGTTTTAAGGACTACGGTGCCAGTAGGAGGGGCCTGCATCCTGGGCTTCATACTTCTAGAGAGCTTTTTAGCCCCTGGACGAGAGCGGAAGTGGCATGATTGAACAGTGCAGGAAAGCCCATTGGGGCCTGGCCCTGCAGGCAGGCCCTGTCGGGGGGTACTTCTCATCCAGAGGGCACCGTGCTGGAAAAAGCAGGGGTGGAAGCCAAATAGCCATATTCTGCCATCAGAAAGTGCCTCAGGGTCTGGCTGGAGAAGAATGGAAAAAAAAAAATTGCAGCCTTTATAGTCGACGGGGGTTTGAATTTTACTGAGGAAAATGATGAAGTACTGGTTGTCGGGTTTGGTTGCAAAGGTCGTGCCATTTTTGGTGACATTCCTGGAGTCTGCTTTAAGGTTGTCAAAATAGACCATATCTCTCTTTGGCCTTATTCAAAGGCAAGAAAGAGAGACTATGATTCTAAATTTTGATGGTGAAAACACGGTACTATTCGCTTTCTTCACATTATTCCTTAATAACTGTTTAAAAATTTCTACACTGCTAAAGCCCAACCCTTGTTTCTCTCCTCTGCCTTTTACCGTTCTGTTGTTAATTAGACCGACATATTTATTAGCATCTATGAGACTCACATGGGCAAGCGCAGCTGGCACATTCGATAAGGCTTCCTGTGGTTTTGCAGCCACAAGATAATGTGGGGGCCCCCTTAACCCATGACCTGGGCATACTCAGTGTGGCTCTCCTGGTTATCATAAAGCCAGTCCAATGTGGCTTGCATACCAAGCGAATCAGCTGCCTCATCCACTTGGCATTGATAGGGGGACACAGACTCTACAGTGGTTTCTCTCCAGTCTGCCAGGCTGGCCGTTCCCTCAGGAATAGTGTCTTTTGTGTCTGGATCACATATAGACACGTATGAGTTTTCCTTAGTGAGCTATGGGTCCTGTATCCACCGAGACACTCTCTTTCGCTCTGCCCCATTCAAAACCAAAGACAGCCCCAAATTACTTACTCTCACGGTCCGTTTCAGTGGCGTGTCCCGGGAAGCTGGTAATACCGATCCACAAAATGAAACAGCTCCCTCACACAACGCCCTCTGGTTTCAGTAGTGTCTTGGTTTTTCTCCTCTTCCGCACTGGCTACCTTCTTGGTGACCAGAGGTCTTAGAGGTACTTTCTGTCGTCCTGGCATCATTTTTCCCTTGGTCAGCCAGCTTTGAGGCTGGTGGCTGAAGCTCAGGCTGACCCAAATCTGTCCTTGGTCTGGCATCAAGGTCGGCACTCTCTTTTAAACTTCATTTTAGCTGTTACGGATAGCAACGACCAGGAGACTGTGTAGCTCCCTTTATTTATTTTTATGAGTTCGCATTTTCTGATGCCTCCAGTGAACCAACTCTCTAAGAGTGGGAGCCATCTCTAAATTTCATTGGTCAGTTTCGCCTTTAGTAACTGGTCGCAGCACCGCAGCACCGTGGGGCATCACGTGGCCACAGGGGAATCAAAGGTTGTTCGCCCCATAGCCTTTCACCCTTTCTCGTCCCAAACCACATGTTTCCACGAGCCAGGAGCGTTCTGGCACATCCCACCTCACTGACACCGATCCCGGAAAAACCTGTGGTTCTCTTCCCGTGTCTTCTCTTTTACCTTCACACAGAAACGCTTCACTTCTGGCACTTCTGGTCACCAAATGTGTGGGGAGGTCTCTGAGCAATTCTGTGACACCAGCTGGGTGTGGGGAGGTCTCTGAGCAATTCTGTGACACCAGCAGTTCTGTGACACCAGCTGGGTGTCCCACAAGTTAACCCAGTGCTGACGTTTTCTGCCTGGACGTAGCGTCGGATTCCACAGGTGGGGGCTCTGTCCCACGGGACCGCCCTCCACTTTAGGTGCACACAACAAGTGGTAGGTCTCCAAGTCCCTCTCCACTTCTATGTGACTTGGCTACAAATTGGTGGTTGCATAACCGCCCCCTCCTCCGCCCACTTGGAATTAGTTATTTGCTAGAACAGCTCACAAAACTCAGGGAAACACTTACTTATGTTTAGCGGTTTACTACAGGACATGATAAAGGATACAGATAATCAGCCAGATGAAGAGGTACATAGGGCGAGGTCTGGGACGGTCCCAAGAGCAGGAGCTTCTGTCCCCGTGGAGTTGGGGTGTGTCACCCTCCTGGCATGTGGATTTGTTCACCAACCCGGAAACTCCCTGAACTACTGTGACTCTGGAAGCTTGCCCAAGGAAGCATGGTCAATGATTAACTCCATTTCCAGTGCTGGAAAAGTTGGAGAAGGGACTGAAAATTCTAAGATTCTTATCATGGCTTAGTCTTTCTGGGGACCAGGCCCCATCCAAGAGCCCACCCAGAGTCCCCTCATGAGAAGAAAAGATACTAGTGTTCTTATCACTTAGGGGTTTTCGGAGCCCTGTGTCAGAGGCTGGGGACAAAGACCAAATACATATTTTTTATTATAAATCACAATATCACATTTAGGTATGGCTTTTAATTACCCTATGCCTTGCAGGCCCCCAAACTTCTAAGAGATCCCCATAATCTTGGGTTTGTGGTCCTGAAATTATAGCACCCTAGAAATTTACGCTTAGGGTCTAGGTCAGTCCAATCGTTTCCTTTTAGCTCAGTCCAGAAAAGGTTACTGAGGCCCAGAGAGGGGAGGTGCCTTGCCCATGGTCACACAGCAAAGAGGAAGCAGGACTCAAGGTTCTGATTCGGAGACCAGGCACTCACCCCCCTCTCCAAGGGATCGGCCTGTTGGGACTTCGACCACCCTGTCCCTCCAGATTTCTCTTTCCTTGACAACACCGTCCATCTCCCGTTGTGTGTTTCAGATTTTTCTACACTACCGCCACGCTCATCATCGCCTTCATCTCTGCAGGTGAGTGCTGTTGGGTGGGTGGACGGGACACCTGAAGCTCAGGGCCACCTGGTGAATGGGGCGGGTGCCGCGAGTGATGGCGGTACATGCTGACCTCCGTGGTGATTCAGAGATCCACAGACCTTGAGTCTGAAAGACTCCTCAGAAGAGTGGCTGCTGGTCCATGAAGACAGTGTAGTCTACCGTGAAAGGTGAAGAATAAGGACAATGGAGGGGTCGCTTCAGAGAGTAAAACCTATTCAAACGATTACATTCTTCCTCTTCCACGTGTGAAAATGCTCTTTTAAAAACGGAATGATAATGTGAATGGCAGTTGTTTTTGAAAATTTCCTTACTTAGCAGGGTCAGGGTTGACCACCCTATGGTAGTCCAAAGTTTTCCTTTCAAATTGTACTGGTCTATAAACATGTAAAATGCGCAAAGTCTGGGAATTCCGATCAGGTTCATTCCCCCATTACAGAGACGAGAAAACTAAGGCTGGAGAGAGACCCCTGGCAAAGATTTGCTCAAGGCCACAGAGCAAGTTAGTGGGAAGTGGCCTGGGTTCCCTGGCTGGCCAAGAGATGCCTTCCAATATTCCCCCCCAGGGTCAGATCAGGTGGCTCAATTTGGGGGTTAGTCGTGTGTAGTACCTGTGCTGAAGCCGGAGGGCGTCACGGGCTGTCTCCCTTTGTGCCCAGTAAACACAGCCTGAGTGTCTTTGTCCAAACAGATCTCATGAGATAGCCTGGCACCTCAGGCCAGTTTTCTAAAACCACTCTTCTCATCAAACTGGCTTCATCTTTCCTAAAAGCCTATAAATGAGTTTCAAGTGGCTGAATGTGGGGGGATGTTTGCCTCTCATATGAAAGTCTTTTGAGCAACAATTCTCCCTTCCCGCATAAAATAGGGCTTTTTGTTTTGGGGAAAAAAAGTATTAGGACCACGCTGACCCTATTGTGAAAGGAATCGCAACCAACCTTTAGTGCATGAGGAGAGCTGTACCTTTCATAAGGACAGAAATTGAATGGCAAATAGTAGGAACATGACATGACACTTTACTGCCCTTCTCAACATGTAGAATGATCGTTACTTTAGAGGACTTTGGGAAGCACACACATGCTATACGAACAAATGTACGTTGAATCACCCACCTGGTGGGAAAGTTACTCCCTTTTTAGTCCCCCCACCCCCACCCCAGTCTCTGATTTCATGAGCAAAGCTATCCTTGTGGGGCTAGTATGATTCAACAAGGTGGCAGGAGCCTGTTTCAGGCTTTGAACCTTCTGAGGGCAACTGTATCCAGTTACGATTTAATAACATTGTTTCTCTTTCATCGTATTTATCTTTGTAGTCACTTTCTATGGTGACAAGCAAGACAAGTTGCTTTTCATTTACAATTGTGATATAAAGTTTCCTTTAAAAAGAATAGATTTCTTTTGGATAAGAGCACTGTTAACTTAAAGACAAATAATAGAACAGGCATGGGTTATTGCCAAAATCATGAAGGTGGGCAGAGATCTGTGGTTTAGGAAAGACTCATTTCTCAAGCTTTCCCCCTGCCCTTGGCATTTTGGTGGTTCTGCTATTACCCAACACCTCCCAGACCTATTATAACAATTTTTTTCCACATTGGTTTTTAAAGGGAAAGAAGTATTCTTTACTCATCCTGAATTTCCAGAGTCAAGCACACTGCCTGGCATGAAGGAAGTGCTCCAAGTTTAATGAACAAAGGAAGGACAATCCATGGCTAGTTTTTCCTTCAGATCTCACAGCAGCCCATGAGACAGGAAGAGCAGGGACTTATTCCCATTGACAGAGGAGATGCCCGAGTCACAGATTCAGTATCAGGCTCAAAGCCATATAGTGAATTAGAGGCGGGTTTGGGGACCCGAGTCCAAGCTTCTCTCCCCGTGTCAAGGGTGAATAGAGAGCTACTTGTAGGTTAGTGAGGGAAGAGAGCAGTGGCTTCACTTTAAGTCCTGCCTCTATTTGCAGAGATCCAGGCCTGCCACAGACCGAGGACCAACTTTGGTGGGGAAACAGGTGGCTCAGGAGACCTCTGCAGGGTCTCTCTGTGGGGACATTTAGGGGAGCCCTGACTACTCCCCTAAAACTCCAGTTTCCAGAGGGTTGGTTAGAATTGGGGCCCCGCCCGAGGGTTGTTGGAGACTTAGGGCGGGTGAGAGCCAGATTATATGGCCCCGTTTTGAGCTGCACTATGACACGACCCACCTCTGTCTTTGATTGTTCCAGACTCAGCGCTGCTGCTCTTCCTGGCCATGCCCATGCTCACTGTCGGGGGAATCCTGTTTCTGATCACCAATCTGCAGGTGGGAGTAGTCGGTCCTCGTCCCAGGCACCTGGCAGGAGGCCGGGGAGGGCAGGGGAAGGCAAAACACTTTTCTATATCAGCTGCTTCAAACCGGGTTGGCCCAAGCCAAGATGGTAGCTTCTGGCTGGTCTAGGGGGGGTCTAGGTATAATGAGAGCCTGGCACCTGCTGGGTGCACAGGAAATATTTATTTCATGAATCCATAAGTGATTCAGGCTGGTCACGTGTTTTCCAGATTGGGAACCTATTTGGCAAACACCGCTCAACCATCATCACTCTCTACAATGGAGCATTTGACTCTTCCTCAGCTGTGTTCCTTATCATTAAGGTAAGAATTAGCAATAGCCAACATTTACTGAACTCTTACACATGCCAGACACTTGTCTGGTGAACTTTTCATGATTCTTCTCCATTAACCCTTCTGCAGCTAGTAAATGTGACACTTGAACTTGAAGCCTGGCCTATCTGGTTCTAGAACCCGAGCTTGTAATCCTTAAGCCCCTCTTTACATTTACACGTGATTTGGGGCAGTGGTTAAGGGAAGGTGTGTCTATGATGTGTGCTTAGGCCAGTGGTAGGCAGAGGGTGGGAGCTCTTTGGAACTGGGTGTTTGCACCCCTGTGAGCGTCTGGTTTGTAAAGGAAGTGGGGGATGGCTAGTGTCCCCAGGGGCAGACACAGAGGCCTCTCCAGCTCCCTTCAAGGTTAATGCTAGGATTCAGGGGTACGGACTGTTGCCGGGCCATCGGCGGCCCACCCAACAGCCCATTCCACCTTCTTCACTGCTAGCAATTTCACCTGGGCAGTGATGTGCCCAGCCCAGGGGATGAATCTTGATTGATCTAAGCCAATTGGCAATCCGTTTCCCCCTTGTTAGTGATGGGTCCTTGTTAATGGGATGAAGGGCGTTTATATTTGAAGACTTTAGGGGACATTTCTCTCCCTGATGGAAGGTGAGAGCAGAACAAAAAGAAAGGCTTCCTCCTTGGTCCCCTTCCCACTCTTCCTCTTTGCATGTTGTGGGAGGGTGTGATAGCCGGAACTCTGGCAGCTCTTCTGTGATTATGCAGCAGCAAGCTGGAAGACAAAAGCTAGCGCACTGAGAATGACTGAGTGAAAGGAATGAAAGAGTGAGGGTCCTTGACATCTGAACCTGCCCAACCTGAGACTTCCCTTTGGGCTTTATTTTAGGCCAGAGGCAGCTGGCACAGCCAGTGGGCCTTTGGGGGAAGAGCGAAGGATCTCTGAGAGTCACTACCCAGCTAGGAGACCAGCTGAGTCCCATGAGCATCTTGGCTTGGACGGCCACCCAGAGACTGAGCCCCTGGGTTACTTACTCAAGCCTTCCTACCCCTGGTACAGGAGCCACTTTCCAGGTTGTCCCCCTTTCCACTGATATGCCTCCCTTTCTCTCCCCCCGCCTTAGAGTTGGAAGGAGAGAGAGCCGAAGCAGGAGCTAGAGTTCTTAGGTCAGGCTGACCTTGCTGCCGCTTGCTCTGACCTTGAGCAAGTCACAGTGCTTCTCTGGACCTCGCTTTCACCCTCTGTAAAATAAGGAGGTTGGGCTTTATCAGTGTCCCTCAGACTGGTGTCGAGGACACTGAGGGGTGCTCTTCAGCAGCATGTCAGTCACCGAGGAGAATGACTGGGCTGCTCCCCACTGGTGTGTTTCATGAGCTGAATTTTTGTGTAAAATTTGGTTTGAACAAAAGGACGTGGCTGCTATTGAGAAAAAAAAAAAAAAAAGCACTGGGTTAGATGATCTGGGAAGCCGCACGTGGAGGCTCTGTGAGGCTGTGGGGATGGGTGGCCTGCCTCCCTGGCAGCTGGTTGAGCCTTGGGGTGACGGGGAGGCCGTGTGTGCACTGGGTGTCCTTGATCCGCTTCCAGGATGGAGGGCAAGAAGACTCATTCTTGGAAATGGGGTTCATGCTCCTGCTTCTTACGCTGACTGTTTTTTGTATGATAAAATACGCATCACATGACATTTCCCGTCGTAACCATTTTTTAAGCGTTCGGTTCAGTTTATTCACACTGTTGCACAGCCATCGCCCGCATCCATCTCCAGAACTCTTTTCAGCCTCGTGAAACTGAAACTCTGTCCCCATTAAACAATAACTCCCTGTTCTCTCTCCCCTCCAGCCCCTGGCAACCGCCATTCTATTTTCTGTTTCTATGAATTTGGCTTCTCGAAGGACCTCCTATAAGTGGAATCTATCGTGTTTGTCCTGTGGTGCCTGGCTTCTTTCACTTAGCCTAGTGCCCTCAGGGTTCGTCCATGTTGTATAGCAGGAGGCAGGATTTCCTTCCTCTTTAAGGCAGGATAACATTTCCTTGTATGTAGGTATCGCGTTTTGTTTATCCATTTATCTGTGGATGGGCGACTGGTTTGCTTCTACCCTTTGGACGTTGTGAATAGTGCTACCGTGAACCCGGGCATCACACTGACTTTTTCCTCTCTCTCTCTCTCTCTCTTTTTTTTTGCAGCTCCTTTATGAAAAGGGTATCAGCCTCAGGGCCTCCTTCATCTTTCTCTCTGTCTGCAGCGTCTGGCATGTTGTGCGTACCTTCCTCCTGATGCCCCGGGGGCACATACCCTACCCGCTGCCCCCCTACTACAGCTACGGGTAAGGCGATTGCAGGCCAGAGTCCCTCGTCTGACCCAGGGTAGGAAGCAGGGGGCAAGACAGACATGGTTAGAGTAAGGCGGAGGAAACGTGTCGCAGGAGAGGACTAGAACAGGGGTGTATCCGTTAGCTATTGCTGCCTAACAAACTACCCCCAAACCCGATGGCCTGAAAACATTAAGCATTTATTATTTTCACAAGTCTGCGGGTAGCTGACTAGTCCTACTGATCAGGGACAGACTTGGATGACCTTGGCAGGCTCACTCATGTCTCCGATCATCTGGTGGACTAGCTGGGGTCTGGCTGGTCTAGGGGAACCTCACATGGGGTTTATCTGAGAGTCATCTGGGGTGATGGGGATGTCCAGGTCCCCTGGCTCTCATCCTCCAGCAGACTAGCTTGGGCTTGTTCACATGGTGATTTCAGGGTTCAAGAGAGAGGGCGGAAGTTCCATGGTTTCTTGAAGGTGAGGGTTGGAATGGGTATAACATCACTTCTGCTGCATTCTCTTGGCTGAAGCAGCTGACGAGGCCAGTCCAGCTTCAGAGGGTGTGGAGTAGTCAGAGCTGCAGTCCCGTTGCAAAGGGTGGGGAACAGAGGAGGTGAAGAAATGTGACCATTGTGCAGTTAGTCACCGCATGTGGTAGAGGGAGGGCACGCATTTGCTGCTCATTTACTATTTGTAGACCCACTGTGCGCTCAGGTCTCATCTCATGGCCATCCTCTCAGATCCTCATCTCCATTTCCCAAATGAGAAAATTGAGACTCAGAAGGGTTGAGTCTGAGTTACGCTGGGTTAAGTCCCAGCTAGAGAGAGGCAGAGCTGGGATTCGAACCCAGCCTTTACTATTCCCATACATCCAGTGGCTTCCAAACTTGGCTGCCTCTCAGAATCACTAGGACATTTGGAGATGTTTAACAAACATGGAAGCCTGGCTCCCACACCCAGGCATTCTGATTTCACTGGTCCGGGCTGTGACCTGGGCATTGGGGTTGTTAAGAGGTGATTCTTGGGATCCACTGCACGCTCACCTCCAGCCTGAATCGCAGGCTCAGCTCACAGTCCCTGGCTGGGCCGTTGGGGCTTCTCTTTCCACAGCCTGGGCTCTTGGAGCCGCCCCAGAGAGGAGAAGAAGGTAACAGCGGAGTCCAAAAAGCTGGATCTACAGTCAAAGGAGTTTCTGTCTCCGAAGGAAGGTGAGCCGAGCGGGGCGAGCCCTTTCCCACTCAGAGCCGGCCTTTCCCTGTGGCTGCCCTGCTTCCTCACCCCCAGAGCTCCCCTAGGAACACAGACTCAGGAAAGGTCAGGTGGAGAAAGGACCTGTAGGTTCCATCTTCTCGACCCCTCACTTTGCAGAGATGGGCAAGACTTTTGTCTCTCTGTTCTGTTCCTCTTTTCTCTCTTTCTCATCTGTCAAACCCCAAAGTCAGTCTTCCATCCATGCCTTCCCTCCCCCCTCCCCCTCAGTCCTAAGTCTGGCTTATTTGTCCCCATTTCTGCAGGTCTCACACTGTCCCATCTCCATGGCCGCCTCTTTTCCCTCCTCTGTTTTGGGTCTTTGGTATAAACATCACAAACCACTGCTGGCTAAGGTAGAAACAAGAACAGGATTCTGGAAAGGTCACAAAGTCAAGAGAAAAATGAACTTGCCAGGCCCCAGGGAGAGCAGAGCCAGGAGCCCTCGGGGACCCCGTCTGAAGTCACAGCCAGCCCTCTTCTAGGGAGAATGACTGAATGGGTCCACCTTGGGTGAGGAACAGGGCACTCAACTCACGGTCCCATCGGGACCATGAAGAAGAGGGGGGAGGGGAGGATTTCCAAAAGAAACCACGGTCCTGGCATCGAAAGAGAGGAGAGGATGTGGAACCGTCTGCCCCCAGCCCTCACGTCACCTCTACTGTCCTCTCCTTGTCTTTCTTTTCACCATCCTGGCTGAGGAAGATGCAGAAAGTGTAGAGCAGGAAGTGGGGTCAAACCCAAGCTGTGAAAGACAGACAGATTTCAGCAGACAGAGCTGCAAGAGGGTCATTCCAAGTGGTAGGGCCAGGATGACGCGGGCGTCGAGGCGGGGATGTGCAAGGTGTAGGCGGCTTGGGGAGCACACCGGATGAGTTCCAGGAGGTGAGGCTAGGTGAGCTTGGCCCTCAGGCTGTCCCACGAAGGCCTCTATACCCTCGCCCTTCTGCCTGCCTCATGGTTCATGCCCAGACCCTTCTTTCCCCCGTAGAGACCCCAGGACCGGTGCAGCAGCAGGAAGCGCGTTCTTTCTGGAGCTACGTTTTCTCTCAGCGCTTTGCCTGGCACCTGGTGTGGCTGTCTGTGATCCAGTTGTGGCACTACCTCTTCATTGGCACCCTCAACTCGCTGCTGACCAACTTGGCCGTTGGGGACAGGGAACTAGGTATATGGCGGAGCTGGGAGGCCGTCAGTCCGCACATCTCAGCTGGGGACCTGGAACCTCGAGGGTGCGGGGTGCTAAGCTCAGCAGGGCGACGAGCTCTGGAGGAAGGTCTGAGCAGGGGTGCGGGGAGGAAGGCCAGGCAGGGTAAGGGCAGGGTGGGAGGGTCCTCTCCTGTAAGGCAGTCCTGGAAGTCTCTGACCACCCAGCCTCTCTCTGTTCCCTGCAGTCAGCAGCTACACCAACGCCTTTGCCATCACGCAGTTCTTCGGAGTGCTGTGTGCCCCGTGGAACGGTCTGCTCATGGACCGGCTGAAGCAGAAGTACCAGAAGGAGGCGAGAAAGACAGGTGAGACCTGGGCTCCAGAGCATCAGGGGACCAGGAGGGGAGAGGCCTTCATTTACTTCCACTTGCATCTTCTCTCTTTTTAAAAATTCTTTTTCTACTTGCATTTGCCTGTCTGTCCGTCCATCCGTCCATCCGTCCATCCATCCGTCCATCCGTCCATCCAACCATCGTAACCGCTAGTCACTGAGTGGCAATTATGTGCCAGCCATAGCCCCAGATTCAACAATAGACAAGAAATATGTCCTTGTTCTCAAGTTGTTCTCAGTCTAGAGAGCGGAGAAAGGTATTATGATCCATGAGGTACACCCGCAGGGGGCCACGGGGGACTATGGGGACATGAAGAAGAAGAGCACATCACCCGTTCTGGGAGAGAATGGGATTGGAGTCAGAAAAGGCTTCCTGGAGGAAGTGGCATCTAAGCCGAGACCTACAGGATGAATAAGGAGTAAGGAGGTGAAGAGGGGGCCCTGGGACACTGGCCCGGGAGTACCGTGGGGACGAGGTGGTGAAGGAGATGGGGAAACAGTGAGGAATCTGGGGAGTCCCAGAAAGCCATGCTGGCTGGCCAGGGCCCAGGGCTTTGGGGGAGCAGTGGGGGAGGGGCAGGGGAGAGAGAGGTAAGAAAGGAAAGGCAGCCTTCCGTGCCAAGGAGCTCACACGCGATCCTTGTGTAAGGGAGGGGCTTCGAGGTATGTTCACCTGGGGCGGGTGTACGTGTGTGCACGTGCTTGTGTCAGGGGACGGGCAAAAGCAGAGAGTCACCTTTCTCCTACAGTTTCATCTACGCCCCTCCCCCACTTCCCTCACTGCTTCTCCTGCCCCTCCTGGAGTATTTTAAAGCAAATCTCAGACATCAAACTGTTTCATCCGGGAACACCAGTTTGTACTTCTAACAAGTAAGGCCTCTTTTACTTAAGCATCACCGGAACATCATCATCACACCTAAAACAACCCAATAGTTTCTTAATATTATTTAATATGCAGTTCTGTTCAGATTTCCTTAGTTGTCTCAAATATGTCTTTTTTACAGTCAGTTTGTTCAAATTAGGATCCACACACTGTATTTGGTCGATGTGCCTTATATATCTTTTTAAATCTGTGTCCCCACCTCACTTTTTTTTTCTTCTTGTCGTTTATTTGTGGAAGAAACTGGGTCATTTGTCCTGTCAAATCCCCCACCTTTCAGATCTGGCATCCCTTACGTGTCATTTAAAAATGTCTCTTTGATTGGCTATTTCCTGTAAACAGGCAGATTGGAGGCTGAGGAGACTCAGTTTCATATTTTTTTTGGCAAGCATGATTCAGAGGTGGAGCCGTGAGCTTCTAATGTGCTCCCATCGGCAGGCCCCTGGTACCGGTTGTCCCTGTATCATGATGTCAGATCGATCAGTGGGTTCAGACATTGTCAGTCTCATCAGCCCGTTATAAAGTTTCCCACCAGCTGTCTGCCTAAAGATTTTAGCAGCCATTGATGATCAGTGCCTAGACCCATTATTTTATAAGGGTTGCAAAATGGTGATTTTCTATTTCTATCTTCCCTTCTGCTTCTAGAGTTCCTCTAAAAAGAAAAGCTTCCTCTTATTATTTATTTTGTTATCCTGAAATAAATGCTTGGTTTTTCCTCTATTTACATCTCATAATAATGAGGTTGCCTTAGCAACCTCTCGGGGTGACTACTGGCTGTTTCTCTTCGAAAGTCTCATTTTAGATATATTTGAATGGGTTTCAACCCGTTTCTATCCCAATTCTTCTTGATGCTCCAATTGTCCCATCTTTAGCCATTGGAAACTTTACCAATCCCGTGTCTGTGTCCTTTAGACATAATCTTATTAGATTTAGAACGTGTTTTTACTTTCTAGCATAATCAGATGTTCAGGTCCATTTCATTGGGTGTGTTTCCTGCCCCAGACCTGAAGCCAGCCATTTCTCCAAGTAGCCCTGGGTCCCTTTAATGGGAAATGACATTTAGAGGCTGCAGTCTGGATGCTAGTGTTTCTTAATTCTCCCGCAGTGTCATTGCTTTTAAGCTTTGGAGAGAGGTGAGATATCCATATTTTTTTTTGGATGAAGAAGCACATCATGAATACCTAATATTGATATTTTAATTCAAATTTTGCTTCCTTGATTTTATATTTGTATCTTTTTTTCTTCCTCTGAAGATCTTGGTTCCTAAAAATACTATATACATATACTATATATATATGTGTGTGTATATATATATACACACTATATACATATCCACATACGTATATTTTAAAAACATATTTTATGTATAATTACTGGTTTGGCAATATCAATATTATTAATTATATAATCGCTACATGCCGTTGCTCCTCCCGCCCTTCCTCCCTCTCCCCTCCTTTCCTTCCTTCCTTCCTTCCTTCCTTCCTTCCTTCCTTCCTTCCTCCCTCCCTTCCTTCCTTCTGCCTTTCCTTTCTTCCTTCCCTTCTTATCCTCAGGCTATCTCCCACGAGAGATGTACAGTGAAATTACTGTGTTTTACAAGTTACCAACTTGATATGAAATTCCGTTCATTGGTTTCATTTTGTTTCTGATTTTTTGGGATCGCTTTGCTTGTTTTTTTCCTACTACTTTTATTTAGCTTTATTTTTAAAACATTGACTTATCAAAAAATTTATATTTTTCTAAAGCCAAACCTGTGAAACAAGTCCTATTCAAAGAAATTTCATTTCCCTCTCTGTTCCTTATACTCCAATCCTTCCCTCGTTCTTTGGTAATTATTTTTATTGTCTTTTGTTCTTAAAGAAAGACCACATATATAATTTCTCCCTTAGGTAAAAGGCAGCGTATCGCATATCGTGCTCTGTGGTTTTCTTTCTGTGTAACTGTCGACCAAGTGTAAATTAATCAGGAGACTTCCCTAGAATTAAGTGACAGTTTTATTTAAGGGCCTTAAGTGTGCGAATTACAATGCTGGAAACATGACCAGGCAATACTCAGAGAGTTCCAGAGAAAAAGGAAAACTTGATAGTTTTTTATGGTAAAAAGCGCATTCTTGAACAGAATCAGTCCCGCATTCCTAGCTTGGTCTGCGCTGGTGGTCTGGACACGTGGACATTCCAACCTAAGTTCTTCAGAGGGTAATCTATAGGGTTCACGTACCTCCCGGCCTGGACGCACAACCAAAATGTTCTAAAGTTTAAGTTCTCAGGCTCCTTAAAGTAAAACAAAATCGCGTTCCTCATGTGTCAGCCCCCTCTGATTTTTGTCACTTTGGCTAGAGTGACTCCATCTTGCCTTTTCACCCCTTCCTCATCCCTGTCCTGCTCCACGGCAGGGCCCTTCAGCCGCTGCCTCGTTCTGTTATGTGGCTGCAGCGTAGCTGATGCAGCGTTTCCCCGCTTGGTGGCTATCTGGTTAGTTTCCAGTCCTTTGCTATGACCAGTAGTGCTACCTGGAATATCTGGCTCTGGGTGGGAGGGGGCCAGAGCAGATCTGTTTGGAGGCCATTGCAAAAATATGCGAGCGAGTCCATGATGCCCTGCAACCACGATGAGTCGCTGGGGATGGAGGGGAGTGGCTGCATTTGAATGACATCTAGGAGGTGGACTATCAATTTTGGAGATGGGCATGTAGGGGCAGGAGGGTTCAAGGATGACCCTAGGTTTCTGCCTGGGTGGACGGCGGCCCCTCCCTTTCTCCCCATCCTCTTGCCCCCTCCCTGCCCTCCGTGGCACCTCCTCCAGGGAGCCTCCCCTCTTCCCTCCTGGACCAGGTACCTCGGACTCTGCCGCAGCCCTTTGCTCAGCGGTGCCTTCGCTGGCCCTGACATCTCTACTGTGCCTGGGCTTTGCCCTCTGTGCCTCGGTCCGTGTCCTCCCCCTCCAGTACGTCACCTTCATCCTGCAAGTGATCAGCCGCTCCTTCCTCTACGGGGGCAATGCCTCCTTCCTCACCCTTGCGTAAGTGGGCTTGGGGAGGGTTACGCATAATGGGGGACTAACTGGGGCAAAAAGAAGCGTGCTGGAGGTGAGGAACTGGGAGATGAGGATGGACCTGGAGGTGGTCAGGTGAGAGAGACAGAGTCTGGGAGCAGGTGTCGGGGTGGTGCCTGGAGGTGGGGACTGGGAGGAGGGGACACATACTTGAGTCTTCACGCCATCTCTCCCCTCCGCCCGCCCGCCCCCCCCCCCAATCTATGTGGTGAGAAATCCAGTCCGCCCTCCAGGGCCCACTTCTGTTCCAACTCTCCCAGGAAAGAGCTGGAAAGAAAGCGGATGCCCTTGGCGCTCACACAAGTCCTGCTTCCTCTGATGGCGTACCCATCGCCTGGCATATAGTGATCTGTCTCTGTGTCTGTCTTTTCCTCGTGACACTCACCCCCCCACTCCCGCACCCCCAGGGCACAGCCTGGGTCTGGGTCCCTGCCGTTTTCCCAGGGCCCAGCACAGTGCCTTCTCTGTGTTCTGTGATTTGATAGTCCGGGCTGACGTGAAGAGAGAAGGGCTGTGTCAGGGTGTGGGCGGGTGAGGGCGGGCCTGGGACAGGGCAGGCGGGAGCAAGGGACGGACAAAGACTCACCCAGAGAGGCCAGGCCCCGACTTGGAGGGAGGGTCCCTGAAGCTCGCTGGAACCCCCGTGTCTCTCTCCCCAGTTTCCCCTCGGAGCACTTTGGGAAGCTCTTTGGCCTGGTGATGGCCCTGTCGGCCATCGTGTCTCTGCTACAGTTTCCCATCTTCATGCTCATCAAAGGCCCCCTTCAGAATGACCCGCTCTATGTGAGTACTGTGCTGAGGGAAGGGGAGGGCTCCCGGCCTTCCAGATTGGGGCGACTCCGTGGGGCCCCAGCAGAGGGCACCCCCAAACCTGGCAGTGCCCTGACTACTGCACAGCTTGTTAGCCTCGTTTAAAAAGTTCAGCGAAGTGTAGAACAGGAGTAGAAATCAGTCATTGGGAGAAAAAGAAAAAGAGCTGGACTTGGGAGGAGAGGAGAATTACTGGATTGCGACATCGGCGACCCTCACTTAATATCCAGGAGACATGTGTTCTGGCCGGTGCCTCCACCGACTTCCCATGTGACCTCGAGCTGGTCATTAAATGCTCCTGAGGCCTCTGTTTCTTCACCTGGGAAATGGGCCCAGTATTCCTCCGCCGTCCCGCCCCACAGGACGGAGTGAAAAACCACCGCTGACCCTTCCCCTGGGACGCCCAGTGTCAGATTGAGAAGCGGAAGAGCAACAGGGCGGGATTCTGGTCCCTTGCTGGGTGCGGGCTTCGCCTCACGCCTCCTCTCCCCGCTCCAGGTGAACGTGACGCTGGTGCTGTTCACTCTTGTGACGCTCGTCCACCCCATCCTCGTGTACCGCGAGTGCCGGCGGGCAGAGAGAACCCCCGCCAGGGCCTAGCTCGGGAGCCCTCAGTCTTCAGCCCTGCGGATGCTTTTGGACATCTGTCCTCAGCTTGGACCACTCCGTGTCCAGAATATCTTTGCCTACCCAGGCTATACTGGTATTAAGTACCCATTGTTTGTTCTAAAAAAAAAAAAGAAAGCCATATTTAGCTGCCAGCTACCTTTGCAACAGCAAGAAAAGAATCTCAGTTGCTAAGCTGATCGACATCCTACAGACCCCAAGCCAGGGCGATGGCCGGGTCTCCTCAGGGTCTCCTCATCCAGAGCAGGACGCGCATGGCCTTGGCACATTTGGCCCCAGGGGAAGCGATGTGTGTCACCTGCTTTTCTAGGCCTGTTTGGGCCTGACGCCCTTCCGTGCCTGGCTCCGTGCTGCCGGGTGATTTTCCGGGTGCAGAGTGAGGTTGTCACTGGGTGCCACCCAACATCTAGAGGTGGCACCCGGTTCACCCCCACAGGCGCACAGCCTTGCGGACAGAATGGCGATGCGCCTCGGGGTGAGAGAGGAGCGGACGGGCGGGGGCGGGGTCCCCTGGGCCTGAGTCCCGGCTCTGCCGCTGACGCGGGGTGACCTTTGGTTTGACCCTTCTCTGGTCCCAGCATCGGCTTTCCCATCTGTAAAACGAGAGGCTTCTGGAGTTGGAGGTTCTTTCTGGGGCTAAGGTTCTAGAAGGTTTTAAGAACAGCGATGAGAGTCAGGCCACTCTAAGGGCCTTGGGAACCAGCTGGCCTGCTTGACCGAAGGATTTCTGATGAAGCCTTTTGGACATGTTTTCATCTTTGAGAAGGGGAATGATTATTTACTTTGGGTATTATTATATACAATTTTTCTCTGGGGGATAATTTTGTAGATAAATAAAGCATCCTTGCCTAAGGCAACTACGGCTCTGCCTCCGCAAGCTTTGGGGCTGTCCTGTGAAACGTGCGAGCTTGCCTGTGTGTTCCTGCCCCAGCCTGGGGTGTGGCCTCCGGGATGCAGGTGGCAGATTCTGGCTGCAGTGTCCTAGTGTGGCAGCTGGACCCAGAGGTGGGGCAGGAGCCTTGAGACTGAGATGTGCCTGCCTGGTCCTGGGATGGAGGCTTGACCTAGGACCCCCAACCCCCCAATCTCTTCCTTTGCTTCCTCTTCCTCCCCCCCAAACCTCAACACTCCACACCCCAAGCCGGAAGCACTAGGTGGAGTCAGAAGGTCTGGGTGTGAGGCTCACTTCTGCCACTCAGCAGCCTGGCAAGTCCCTTCACGACTCTGAACCCTAATTTCCTTATCTGCAAAGTGCAGTTCATGTCTAGCCCTGAGGGCATTTGTGAGAAGTTAAGGTAATTGCACTGCCTAGGACAGAGGTGGGACCATGGAAGCCTGTGTGCCTTTATTTACTTATGACCAGAGAGGAGAAGGTAGCCAGGAGCAGGAAGGTGAGGGACCAGGAGAGAGAGAGATGAGAGTGGGCTGATGGGAGAATCTGAGACACATTAGATGTTCCATTCAGCTTAGCCAGGAGAAGGACCGGGAGAGGACAGTGAAGGGGAGGGGGCTGGCAGGCACATCCAGTCATTTATTCACTCGACATGTTTACTGAGCCCCTACAATAGGTCAGGGAGGTCCTAGCTGCTAGGGATATGGAGATGCTCAAGGGGTGGAGCCAGCTCTTCTCTCAACTGCTGAAGGGTGATTTCCAGGGGCTTAGGACACCAGAGTGTTAATGGATAACTTTCATTTTACCTTTCTCAAAAACTTTCAATGGCTCCCTGCTGCCCAGGGGGAAAAAAACCTAGATTCCAGCCTGGCGTTCAAGGCTCTCCGCAGTGCGATTCCAACCCCTCTCCTGACCTCTCACCTCCCACCTCCAGAGAGACAGGGCTCATCCCCTGTGGACCTGGACTCCTGGTCTCTGACCCCGGGGAACTCGCCCATCTCTGCCAGGAAACCTGCCTGGTCCACTGGAGCCTGCTCAAAATGCCATCTCCTCTCCAGGTCTTTTCTGGACTTTCCAGCAGCCCTGAGTTCCTGGCACTTGGTCACATTCTTCCTGGTGACTGGAACCTGTGTCATAGTGCGACGACCTCTCCTAACCTGGACAGTGAGCTCCAGAAGGTCTCATCAGCTCAGTGACTAATGCATGCTTGCCACCACGTGGCACCGGTTGGCTCGTTAAATGACAGTCGCTGAGTGAGTGGATTCTTTCTCATTCTGGCCTCAGAGCCTCCTAGAAGGAGAGAGCGGTGTGGAGTAGTGGGAAGAGCATGGACCGGAGGGGGGGCCAGGCCAACCCCTTCTTCACCCCAGCTCCATCAGAAATGTGACCTTGGATGGGCCACTTCACCTCTACGTCTCAGTTTATCAATAATGATGGGAGAAACAGACCTACCTCCCTGGACTATTGTAATGATTAGAGATGAGGTCAAGTGCCTACGCATGGTAGGTACTCCATAGGTCACGGCTATCATTACGGCTAATATATTAAATTCAAGAAGATGCCAAATGTCCACCAACTGGTGAACGGATAAATAACATGTAGGTCCATACAATGGAATATTATTCAGCAATGTGAAGGACTGGAGAACTGATAGAGGCCATGACATGGATGAACCCTGAGAACTTTATGCTAAGTGAAAGCAACCAGTCACAAGAGACCACATACAGTACGATGCCATTCAGATCCGAAACCTCCAGGACAGGCAAATCTCTAGAGGCAGAGAGCAGATTAGGGGTTGTCTATGGTTGGGGGAATGAGGTAGGGACAGCTCATAGGGAGGGGGTTCCTTTTTAAAGTGATGAAAATTTTCTAAAATTGATAGTGGTTATACGACTCTGAAATATAGAAAAAACCATTGAAATGAACACTTTAAATGGGCGAATTGTATAGTATGTGAATTATATCTCAATAAAGATGTTATTAAAAAAAAAAGTGCCTGGGTTTCTCAGGAAGCACAGAGAACAGTCATGTCCAGAGAGTGTCGCAGATGGCTTCTGGGGAAGACGAGCGAGCGGGGGAAGCAGCCCCCGTGCACAGCCTCCTGCTTCGGTCCAGGGCCGCCTCCT